TATCAAGAAATTACACCAAAGAACCATCTAAACAAGACAATACTTACACTGAAATTGTTCATTCAATTGATGAGCTCCCAATCAGCAATAACAAATTACAAGAAATTATGAAACACACTAAAGAGGATCCGGAATTAATGAAGTTAATGGTATATTTCCATGAAGGATGGCCTCCATTAAAAAAAGATATAAACTCAAAGTTATCGACATATTGGAAAATGAAAAATGATTTGATGGTTAAGGAAGGTTTAGTATACATAAATGATAAATTGTTAATACCAACAAAATTGCGACAGGGAATACTGAAAAGACTACATGAACCACATTTTGGCATTGAAAAGACTAAAAAGTTTGCAAGAAAATTTTTATATTGGCCGGGAATCTCGAAAGAAATTGAGACAATAATAAAAGGATGCCAGATTTGTGAAAAATATGCAAAAAATAAGACCAAAGAACGACTATTACCTTACAATATCACCGAATATCCTTTTCAACGAGTAGCAGTAGATATATGTGAATGGGGAGGAAAATCATTTTTGATATTAGCAGACTACTATTCTTTCTGGTTAGAAGTCAAAAGTTTAAAAAACAAAACTAGTAAAGAGGTAATCAAAAAGTTGAAGTCCATATTTACAACTTTTGGTATCCCTAATGAAATAATAGCTGACAATAATCCGTTTAATAGTGAGGAATGTAGAAAGTTTGCGAACGAATGGAAATTTAGAATAACAACAAGTCCACATCATTCTCAAGCGAATGGTTTAGCAGAAAGAGCTGTGGGAGTTACTAAAAATATGTTAAAAAAGAGCGTGGAGGGGAATGTTGATTTTAAATTGATGTTACTTAATCATCACAACTTTCCAACTAGAACGACAAGTATTTCCCCTGCTGAACTGATATTTAATAGAAATATAAACACTAAATTACCAATTGCGACTAATAAATTAGTACCAAAAAAGATGGAAAAGATAAACATGTATCAAGAAAATTTCAAGAGGTATCAGGAAAAATACAAAACTTATTTTGATCGATCTGCAAAGGCACCAGAAGAATTTAAGGTGGGAGAAAATATAATGATGAGAGATGTGAATAAGAAGGTGTGGAAACCGGGATTGGTGATGGAAAAGTGTGATACTCCAAGGAGTTATAAAGTAATGGATGAAAGGGGAAGAACGTTGAGAAGAAATAGTGTTACCGTCTAAGACTCTCTTACCGGAAACGATTATCGAAAGTGACCAAACAAAAACAATACGAAAAGATCCTTTGATAAATGTCAGTCAAAAACAAAATGATAATGTTGTTTCAAATAATAATATTACTAGAAGTGGTATACAAATAAAAATGCCGTCTTATCTTGCGGATTTTGTACATTAGCTTAAAGAGAGGGAGGTGTTATGATAGCTTTAAGTTGGTAGCACTGTAATTAGTTTTAGTATGAAAATGGCGCTAGTCGTAAAGCGGCAAAAACTACTCTGTAGAGAATAATAACTGTGTTGACTGAAGAATCAAATCAATAAAGATTAGTAATAAAAACAAGAGTATATTAATGTCCTTGGTGGAAATAACAACATAACAAGAACGACAATGCAAAGTCAGTTGTAAGGAAGCACTAGCAGATTCGGAAACTCTTTTAAATTTTATGGACCAGCAAGACAATATAGACATTTTAAAATTCGTACTTTCATAACAAATATTAAACAAAAGATAAATAACCAGAAAAGAAAACAAGTCAAAATAACCGACTTTTTTAAAAAATAATTTAAGTGTTTTGTTATTATTTAGTTTTATAGTAAAGAACGTTGTTTTACACCAGTTTATTTCTTTCATTATACAATTCTCTAACCTTTTCTTAGAATAAAAATTAAACATTCGTATTTCAATAATTTTAAAAACGTTAGGTTGTATTATCCATGATTTTCGATTATCCGGTTTCTATTTTCCCCCGATTACCACGGTTAATCGGCACTCTACTGTATTACGTTATTTTTAATAAAACAGTAGCAACACATTTTGGTAGAGTAAAAATATTTAATTTATATTAAACAGTTGTTAAAAACGTAAAGTTAAATCGATTAATTTTTGAAATCTAACAACATTTATAAACTACATACTGGGAATTTCATATAAGTCGCAATACATGAATGCAGTAACAATAGTTACGAAACTACTGTGCACTTGCACTGTCCCACATAAAATGCAATATAGCTTAATAGTACAGGTATTAGGTAGTTTTGCAGAGGATAAGTTTTGCTTGGAAAAAGGTGACGTCCTTATGACAATTTTGAGTTTTCGTCCGTCTTAAGATACGCACGGCTAAACCCGAATGTTTCTAATTCTGGGTCTAGTGTTAGTTCTACTTTTCGTTCAATAAAAATATCCTACAATCAAACGCTGAATAACAATTAAAACTAGGATTCACATTCGTGTTTAGCCGTGCGTCTCTCAAGACGGCTAAATCCAAATGATTCTAGTTCTAAGTATTGTGTTAGTTCTAGTGATAGTGCTAGTGTAAAACTAGAACTAATACTAGACCAAGAACTAGAAATATTCTAATTTAACCGCATGTCTCTCAAGACGGCTAAACCCTTTCTAGTGCTAGGTCTAGTGTTAGTTCTAATTTTACACTATCACTAGAACTAACACAAGACCTAAAACTAGAATCATTCGGGTTTAGCCGCACGTCTCTCAAGACGGCTAAACCCTTTCTAGTGCTAGGTCTAGTGTTAGTTCTAATTTTACACTATCACTAGAACTAACACAAGACCTAAAACTAGAATCATTCGGGTTTAGCCGCACGTCTCTCAAGACGGCTAAACCCTTAAGAGACGAACGGTTAAACCCGACTGTTTCTAGTTCCAGGTCTAGTGTTAGTTCTAGTTGTTATTCACTGCAAGGTTGGTGTATATTTTCATTGAACTAAAACTAGAACCAACACTAGACTTAGAAGTAGATATATTCAGGTTTAGTCGTGTGTCTCCTAAGACGGCTAAACTCGAATGTTTCTAGTTCTAGGTCTAGTATTAGTTGAATAAAAATATACAACCTAGCGCTGAATGATAACTAAAACTAGTACCAAAACTAGACTTTAGCCGTGCGTCTAAAGATAAACCCGATTGTTTTTAGTTCTAGGTCTAGTGTTAGTTCTAGCTTTAGTTCAATAAAAATATGCAACATAGTGATTTCTTATGCTAACTAGCGCTACCTATCATTGTCACTATAGTCGAGCCGTCGAATTTGTGCAGTGATAAATCACCGTGACAAGTAGGTATCTTTCTCACATCGTCGGTCGCCCTGTCCGGATTCGTCAAAGTAAGTGACCACACCCCTTCTGGGGGTAGCGCACTGAGCGCGTTACTGGAGACAAAAAAATAATAAAAGCCGCCGACGCACTGTGAACGGTATTCATAACTTCTTATCTGACTGTAAAGAAAGGTTTATTCTCGTATAGTGTAGCTGCGCCTTATAGACCCTGGTGGGAGTAGGCGGTTACATAACGAAGGAACCGACTACCCCTTTTTTTGTAAGTACCTGTCACGGTGATTTACCACTGCACAAATTCGACGGCTCGACTATAGAACTAACATTAGGCCTAGAACTAAAAACATTCGGGTTTAGCCGCACGTCTTTCAAAACGGCTAAACCCGAATGATTTTAGTTCTAGGTCTTGTGTTAGTTCAAGTGATAGTGCTAGTGCAATACTAGAACTAACACGAGACCGAGAACTAGAAACATTCGCATTTATCCGTACATCTCTCAAGACGGCTAGATCCAAATGATTCTAGGTCTTGTGTTAGTTCTAGTGATAGTACTAGTGTAAAACTAGAACTAACACTTAGAACTAGAAAGTTTCGGGTTAGAAACCCGAAGGTTTCTAGTTCGAGATCTAGTGTTAGTTTAGTTTCAGGTCAATTAGAATATGCAACATAGTGAAATCTTTTTTGAATATATTGAATATTTCCATAAACTCACGAAAAACCAAAAAGATTGAAATATTGAAAAGATGAAAAAAATTTCGTTTCCGACAAAATTGTCATTACGGACCTGTATTTTTCAAAAATGTGCAAACGATCCGAAAGCTGCATGTATGACTGAAAACCTGTTTATAATAAATTTATATCTCTTAATACATTCCATAATATAAATACGGCCTTATAAATCAGCAATTAATGTGTAAATTTTTTGTCTTTTATAACTTTTTTGCCATAAAGACAACGTCAATATATTTTTTTGTACTTTAGCGTTAAATCCTTTCAAATGCATAATATAAGGAGATATATTATAAAAACGAAAATGAACATAAATTTTATGACAGCGCCCGCTCGAAGATAAATAGTGGATCAAACAAACATATTTACTGAGCAATTGGTCAATTTTGCTCTCCATTCTTCAACAAGACTTATAACTTCGCAGCAATCAACGAAAGATAATAGTTTTGCAATCATTTTTGTTCAAAGTGTGGCATAGAAAGTAGGAGAGAAGATTGCTGGTCCAAAAGTCCGATATTTCAGACTCCATTTGTTGCACGCACTCTTTCATAGGCCCGATTTTTGTTATATTGAATACAATGAATCTACCCACTCCAATCCCAAACTGAACAAAATATGGCCTGTGTTTCAACACTTGTAGAACAAATGTCAACAACGCTATATTCCCGAGAAAATGTGACTATAGACTATAGACGAAGGTCTCATGTAATACTACTACTGTAATAATAGATGTCTAGAATGGATAGTCTATAATAATAATAATAATAAGCTTTATTTCCATCTTTAAAAAATGCACAGAAAACGTCAAATAATATTCAAACAGTCTGATTTAATCTACTGTAATGGTTCCAGAACAAAAATCATTTATCGAATACAAGTTTCGTTCTAAAAGATGTTGTTTGAGATAGCTTTTGAATCCCGTGGATGGCTTTATTTTCAAACTATTAGGTAGATGGTTGAAGACCTTAACACAAAAATGAACAGTACTTTTTTGTATCTTAGTATACTGCGTTTTTGGTGGAAGTAAATAGAGACATTTTCTACTCCACGTGTAACATAACAGTGTTGTTGTTCATATTTTTTAAAGAAAGTATAGTTATTTTTTATAAACATTGCGGATTCAAGAATCACTAACGATGGCATTGTCAGAATTTTATAATATTTAAGAAAGGGTTTACACGATTCCCTCATTTAAAGACCGAAAACTGCTCTCAAGATCGGAACTTCGTCGTAACCAACTGCAGACGTATTATTTAAAGACATTATGACTGATTTTACTTCACCCGGATCAGTCAGATAAAACGCAAATGATCTTTTTAAGTCGATATTTGTAGATTAATCATTTTACCAACCGCCATATTGGCAAAATAAATATTTATTGCATTCAACAGTTAATCATTACTTTTGCAGTTGTGTTGAAAATCACATAAATCGAGATCTTCAGATTGCTTATTTTGTCTGAGCATATGAATGGTATTCCATGTAGCCCTTACTTTATTTTTAGCTGTTTCTATAAAATTGGTAAAAACAGTTCTTTTTGATATCGCTATTTCGTTTCGAACATGTCGGGAGTAAATATTGTAATATTCTTTATCAATTTTACCCATTAACATTCCTTCATATAGTTGACGCTTCACACGCGTTTTGTTTTTTATTTCTTTTGTTAACCATTTATTAGTAGCCGATTTAACAATCATTTTAATTAACTTTTTCTCTGATTTTTTAATTATGCAATTATGTATTACATCTATGAACTTGTCATATAACTCGTCAGTCTCTTTATAGCTACTTAAAAAATTCCAATCAATTGTATGTATTTCAGCATGTATTTCTGAGAGAATTGTATTGCTAAATATACGTTTTTTTAGCATTTTTACTAGTGTTTTACCATCTATAGTTGCATGTATTGTTAGGATCTAGATTCGGCGTGAAGACATACATGTTGTGTGTGTTCACCTTAGTTTGTGCATTATTCATATACAGGTTAGTTAAAAATATGGAGACGGCGATTTATTGTTGTTAATATTCATTTTAGAAAATTATGTTGAATACAAAAGTTTATTGTGTAAATTTTACTCTACCATTCGATAGAACGCTTTTATTCTCTTGACGACAGTATTTTTGTTTTTTTAAATTTATTTTAATAACAATTTTACAAGAGAAAGCCAATTCAAGTATTTATGAATAGTAGGCACATTTAAATAGACAAAATTATT